CCGCCCTGGATGCGCAAGAGGGCGCGAGGTGCGCGGGGCGGCCCCATCGCGGCGCGCACTCACGCGCCGCGCAAAGCACCTACGTAGACCAGCAGGAACACTGGCCCGGAACAAACAAGAGATATGGAAGACAGGAAGATCGACGGAAAGGGCGCAGGCCACGTGCAAAACGGAGACCTCAAAATAGCTCGCCCGATCCTTAGCAACAAGATCATCCATCCTGTACACCCTCTTGCAAAACGCACCCCGACCAGCCCTGGCGCCCCTCCCGGACCGACCACGGGCAATGGGCACCTGCGAGATGCGCTCGTAATTATTCCACTCGCGCTACACTGTCCGCTCGCCGCGCTCGCCTCGATTTGGGTTGAACGTCTTGACCCCGGCAGGGTTCTCTTCGGGCCCGATCGTAGACTTGGCGCGCGCGGGCCAAGCCGCCGACGCCCGACGCTTGGAACGAATCGCCTGCCCGCGCGAAGCACGCCACCTCCACGGCCCAATCCGCCGAGCACGGCCCGCCCGCCCGCCAGGGCGGCGACGTCTGCGCTGAACTTCGAATAAACTGAACTAGCGACGGGGTCGCGCTGCCCCAGGGGCCGCAAGCCGATCTGCCGAACGACCTCTCGCGCCACTTCGGCGCCATCGGCGGCGGCGAAGCGCCACGGTGCCAGCTCGAGGCGCCTCCACTTTTGAAACTCGTCGATCGCATGCTGGAGCACGTGGGCCACGAGGAACACCATGGTGCTGATGCCCTCAAGTACCCAGCCCTGTCCGCCGACGCACGCGGCGAAATTCGTCGCGCGCCGCCGCGATGTAAACGACGACGCCCCCCCGGGCGCCTGCCAACCAATGGGCGCCGCGGGCGCTCGCCAACTTTCCTCTCTGCGCCACGGCGCGCGCGGCCCAGCCCGCGTCGACGAGCGCGCTCTACCGGGTGCACAATGAAATAACATGACACAGCTAAGAAGGACCACAACTCCACGCCACGGTACGCTTCGGGAAAAGACGCCGCCCACCCGGCGCCCCTGCATCGTTCGAACACGGCTATCACAAGGGCTCTTCAACGGCAAAAGCTGAGCTGCCACTGCGTCCAACGTCCCGAACTTCCACTTCGCGAGCGATGCATCGCAATTATGCAGCCATGTGCGGAGCTCTGGAGCCCAGCCCTGGCGGCGGCGATCGGGCGAAGGCCCCCGCGCGCCAACGGCCCCACGGGAACAACGAAACACCGAGGCGCAACCCTTCACTGACCGAGGAAGCCCCCCTCCCCGCCTAACGAACGCTACCCGCGGCCAACCCAACGCACAACCACGCAGAAAAACCAGTGCCATGCACAGCTGCGCATCACCCTGGATCGGCCCGCGGGGGCACGGGCGACGCCCGACGGGTCGCCCCCCGGCCAATCGCAAGAAGGTGCTGAAATAAAAGGGGATACAAACGGAGGAAAAGGACAGGACGGGGGGGTGAACCCGCGGCGGCGCCAAACCCATCGCCCCCGATCCACCCTGCGACCCTGCCGCCGCGCCTTGAGAAACTTCGCGATGCTGCCTGTACGACCTGCCCCGAAAGCACCCGCACGGGCCCCTTCAGCTTTGCGCTCCAGTGTGGCCACCTCGGCGCGAGACGACAAATCCTCTCAACCATGTGACTGCAGATGCGTTTCCAACCATATGCAGATTGCAGACGGCAACAAACTGGCACCCCTGTCGACGCGCAAGCCCGCGGACTCCAGATGCAGCCCGCGCAATGCCTCAAACCACGAATGTATGATTTCGACGCAGTCGACCAGGTGCAGCTCAGACCCCACGTCAGTAGTTGAGGATTTGATCTCGCCCATGAACTGGCGAACGACGTACCCCTCGGGCCCGCAAATCAGATAAGACAACCCAGAGAAAAGCAAGCACCATGTCCAGCTTGCCCATGAATCCATTAGCCAGCGAGCACCCCGGTAGGGCGAGGCGCTCGAACGCGCCGTCGGCGCAGGCGAAGTCTGCAAGCATGCCCTGCACCTCGGTGCCAAGACAATCACTAGCATCAGAAAGCAGGCGAATGCTGACAACGCGATGGAAGTTCTCGCGGAGCTGGCGCCTTTGGACAAGCAGCGCAACGACAACGAGGAGCAGAACCCCTTCGCGAAGCACTTCGCGACGAGGGCGGGCAGACTCGGCCGGGTCGGGCGCGTCGCCGCGAGAGCCGGCGGAGCCGAGAAAATGCCCGACGCCGCCTCGCAAAACCTCGAAGAAGAAGCGATGAGACCGCAGGTGGCTGGAGAACGAAACCGCCTTGATTTTCAGTAATGCTGCAACCATCCTGCGGCCCTTCTTGGCAATGATCACCCCCCGACGTGGGATTCTCCTTCAGATCCCTCCGCGCGGGCAAGACAGCAGCGTCGACGGCGCCGTCGTCGTGGCCAACTGGCGTTCACGGAGGCTGCTCGGTAGTCCCGCCCGAGAGCGACGACGTCGCCTTGGCCCATCGCTGGATGATATGTCGCGGAGGAACTGACCCAGCCCTTCCATCATTACGCATACCCCTCAGATCAGCCTGCACTGGGATCATCTTGATTGCACCTTCACCCAGAATCAGAACGCGGTACGCCACTGACAGCGGAGCGGAAATCAACACCGGCACACACATACCACCGTCCAACTCGGAGAATACCTTACCGGACATGTCTCAATGTTGGAGAGTTCATGTTGGCCAGAGTCTCACCATACCTTACCATACCACCTTACCTTACCTTACCACCTTACTCGGAGAGTTCTTACCTTACCATACCACCTTACTCAGAGAGTTCAATGTTGGCCAGAGTCTCATGATAGAGTTCATGCGTCTCCACAGGCCTCGAAGGACAATTCCTGACTTCGAGCGTAGCCTTGGAAGGCTCCACGTGGGCAATCTCGTAAACAATGAAACCTCATATGCTCTGGCAGCCCGAATTTTCAATCCCGCACTAGAGAAATTACATCGGGACTCGAGCTCGGCCTCCCCACCGTACGGTACCAGCCTCCACTTAGCAGTGCAAATCGCAAACACTACTCAAAATTCTGGATGATCCTCCGCGTCGCCGTCGGTGTTCGCGTCGTCTTCACATTTCACGCCGCCAGGCCAACGTCCAACAACGAGCGCGTCGAAAACACCACCGTCAAAGACGGAACGTCGGCGCGAGGCTGGAGCTTGCCTTTTCACCGGAGGCTCCTCGCAACTATCTGCCACGACAAAGCGGTCGTCATCTGAATTTTCCGCCTCGGGTTCCAACGCTGGGCCCGAACGTGGCTACGGAACGCGACAGCGACGGCCTCGGCGACGGGCGCAACTACTATGACAGACGCATCGCCGTCGCCCAATATTACGATTGAGGGGCCACGGGGGGGAACGCAGGACGCGCCATCGTTTAGGCCGCTGCTGACTACGACGCTGGTTCATTCAACTCTCGCGACATGTCTTTGCTGGTATATGGGCAGACCGAACGCGCTTTCGATACTTACGTTTCTGTTTCCGTGAAACCAACCATCCATGCTTCAGAAGAATAGAAATAAACGCTTGACGTTGCACCTGCTTGGCCACGCCCCACGGCCCACTACAGACGCCTCATGGGGGGGCGAGCAAGCCACTACCTGAGGGCGGGCGGGAGGGAAATAAGAAGACGAGCAACGCCGATGCGGCGGTCCTGCCTTCATGGCCGAGCACCAAGGCCACGCTAACGGCATGTTGCTTAAGGGTGATTTGCGTAACGGTGATTTTGGAAACCGAACTGTAGGAAATCACGAACCACACTCTCCTACAAGTCCAATATGCGGATGTATCGAACGAAAACTACAAAGCGAATTGCAGGAAAGCACGAGCCACGCGTTCCAACAATACCGAAACATACATCGCTGTTACGTGCATCGCAGTTAGCGTGCCTACGAGAACATACAGCCTCCCCGCTCAGCGGCTCGCAGCGCAGCAACGCGTGCAGCTCACAGCCCACGCGCCCCTCAAGGGAACGAAGTCGAACTTCTCGAGGGGGGGGGGGCGGCGCCCCCCTCAATCCTGAAACTCCCGCTGCCCATGACCCCAACCAAGGGGGGGCCACAGTGACGCGAGGCTCGGCTCCAGAAAACGGGGCCCGCGCGGGGGCGAGAGCGCTGGTTCTGAGCGACGGGAGCAGAGCGCCGATCCCAACAGGACAGGAGGCCCACGTTGCAGCGGGAGCACTGCGTTGAAAAACAAGGAGGAGCAAGCATGAAGAGTAACAACCCGGAAATCGGGTTGTGAGAACCGCGACTCGGAAAAAATACGCGGAGAGGGCGGGAGATCTTCTGGGCAGCTTCATGGGGGCATTCATACCGCTTAATTGTGGAGGGGGAGGGGGGGGGGGACGGGGGGCAGAGGGGGGGGAGACGGAGGAGGGAGGGGGAGGTGGGGAGGGGCAGAGGGGGGGGGAGGGGCGGGACGAAATGTGTCTCGAGACTCGCGCGCACGCTGGACGCGTCCCACCCGGGCCACACGCGCGACAGCGCGTGGGGTGAGCTGCGCAAGCCTGTCCCGGGTGCATACTTCTCGGGACACGGAGGATAGCCGTGGCCAGGTGCAGCAGCCGCGCAACAGGCAGCGGAAGAGAAAGAGGGTGGGAGAAGGGGAAGAAGATGGCGAATCAAGGGGGAGAGGGAGGGGAAAAAGGAGCCCAGGAGGAAAAGGAAGGAGAAGCGAAGGGGTGGAAGAGGAGGGGGAGGAGGACTCTTCCTCTCCCCGGGCCATCTCCTCCTCGACCACTCCTTCTGGTCTTCACCTCATGCTCGTGCCAACCACCTTCCCGATCTCCCTCCTGTCCCTCTCCCTATTCCACCGTCCTCCTCCACGTCCTCCTCCTAGTCCTCCTCGTCCTCCTCTCATATTTCTCCTCGTTCTTCTCCTCCTCCTCCTCCTGGAGCGGAAGAGGGGCAATGCAGGGAGAGGCGAACGAACGACGGCAGCGGAGCCAGCGCAAGCGCGAGGGCGACACACCAACCCGAGGCGGCCTCGGCGTACTTGAACTGCTCGAAGGCCTCCTTGTGCTCGCCGCGACGGAGGTGCTCCATGCCGTCCTCGCCGCGCGGACGAGAAGGGGAAGTCGAGGACAGGAGAAGGAGAGGCAGAGAGAGGGAAGGGGAGGGAGAGGGGGAAGGGAAGGGGAAGGAGGAGAATGAGGAGGAGGAGAGGCAGAGGCAGAGGCAGAGGCAGAGGCAGAGGCAGAGGCAGGAGTAGGGGGTAGGGGAAGGGAAGAGGGAGAGCGAGGCGGAGAAGAACAGGCGGCACGAGTCTGCCAGAGGCCTGGGGTGGTGTCGCGGGCGCACCGGCGCGCGCATGCGGGCCACGGACCGCAAAGAAAAAGAGGAGGGCGGCACCCTGAGAAAAGCGTGGTTCACACGCCGCACGCGCTTCGCAAAAGCAGCGCGACTCTCAGGGCAGCAGCACGCGCGCAGCGTCTGCCCATGTGCGTGCCGCCATGATTTCTGGACACGAAGAAACGCACCAAGGGAAGGCTCCCCACCTGAACAACTGGGCGGTCCAAGGCAGCCGCCTTTCATACGCATAACTGTTGCTTGGAGTTCCGTGACACAATATTTAACAAGATTTGAGCATGAGTCTCAAGCGAGAGCCCCGTTTTGAAAAGGAGAATACCTTCCGTCCGCGCAAAATCTACGAGCATTTAAGACGACTGTGCGCGGCGCTCAGGCGAGAACCATATTTTGAGAACAAACTGTGCGACCCCCGTGCAACTGCTGCAAATGTGAAGAGAAACACGCGAGGCGCTCAGAACGACATGTTGGAAACGGCGTGAGCCAAAAACCGTGTAAATGTTGCAAGCGCGAAGTGGAAATGTGCAAAGCGCTAGAGCGAGAGCTGCATATCGTAAACAGTCCGCACTCAACCCGTGTAGCTGGTAGAACTTCCACCACTCAGGATCGAATGTTGTCAGGAATTCGAATGCGAAATGTACAGCCCGCCCTACCGACACGTCTGGCGGTGCGACGAAGAATGCCTTCGTCCCCAAACAGCGCTTGCAGCAAGAGGCTCCTACTTGCGGTATGATGCGGATTTCTGGTCGCTGGCCCTGAAGCCTCTGGTCCCGCTTGCCCTGGCTGTTGCGATTTCCCGTCGACGGCCATCAAATCCTTGGTTCCGCTTGCCTTGTGTTGTTCCGGTCGCTGGCCACACTGACCTGGTTCCCGCTCAGTCCTGAGCCCCGCGCGCTTTGGCTGTTGCGATTTTCCGCCTGTCGACACCCTACGAGAGACCCAGAGCGGCCGCTTGGTATGCAGAAGGCCTTCGAGCAGCAGTTTGCTCAGCTGGCCAGTGAAGCAGAAATTGTGATGCCTTAGTTCCCGCCGGCGGCGCGCCGAGCACCTTAGCCTTTGGGCTTCTGAAGAGCTCTGATATCTACAGGCTGCCAAGAGGAACGCCGAAGAAGGCTCCTCCTCCTCCTCCTCCTCCGAACCAAGGGACCTTTCTAGCCACGGCGAGCCCCAGGTCATGAAGAGGCTTCCCGACCCAGCAGCCGTAAGGGGCGGCTTCAAAACCAGAGCAGAGAACGAGCCCAAGATTGTCGCCGTTTCAGAGTCTTGCCTGTACCACAATTTCCGGGCATGGGGCTCTCGTCGTAGCGTCGCGCATGCTCGTCTTGAGAACATGCAGCAGCTACCAGGATGGAGGACCAGTGGCTTTCGAAATGGGGCTCTGTCCGAAGCGTCTCGCACGTTCTCCTGAAACTTTGCATCAACAACGCAGGCAGCGGTTTTCAAAATGAGGCTTCCGGTTCAGCGTCGCGCACATTCGTTTCAAAGTACTTAAAACAACTGCAGGGAAGGGGGAGAGGGGGAAGGCTGGTCTTCAAAATGGGGCCCTCGCCACGGCGCCGCTCACATTCATCTTGAACAAACTGCAACACTTGAAGGATGGAGGACGGCTCTTTTCCAGAATGGAGTTCTCGCTGGAGGCTTCCTCGCATCGAACAGCTAGAAACTTCCAAAGATTGGACAGCTGCACAGTCGGAGGGCGGTTCCTTTCCAAAATGGGGCTCTCGCTTAAGACTTCCTCGAAGTTGACAGCCAGAAACGCAGCTTAGCGCAACGATTACACGAACGGGGGGCAGCTCCTTTTCAAAACAGGGCTCTTGATGGACACTTATCTGAGCTGCATAATCCAACCTTCTCGCATTCCATATTCTTCGCTAGAAAGATGCAGGGCAGTTCTTTTTCAAAACGGGGCTGTCGCCTGAATTGCACGCCGATGGGTTGCTAGTCTTTGAAGGTGCCTTTTCCAGCAGTGAAAAGGAAGTCTTGTAGGGCCTTGATTGAGGAGGGGACCTGGGAGTGGCGTATTGCAGCATCGTTTATGGATCCTGGGTTTACTCTGATCATCCTCCTCATCATCAATCACTTGGTCGTCCTCTTCATGCCCCTCCTCGTCACCCTACTCCCTGTCTTCCTCTTCCTTTCCGGTCCCCCCCCCCGCAATCCAACTCTTCCTCCTCCTCCTCCTCCTCCTCCTCCTCCTCCTTCTCCTCCTCCTCTCCTCCTCTCCTCCTCCTCCTCCTCCTCCTCCTCCTCCTCCTCCTCCTCCTCCTCCTCTTCCACCTCCCCTCCTCCTCCTCCCCCTCCTCCTCCTCCTCCTCCTCCTCCTCCTCCTCATCCTCCTTTCCCTCCTCCTCCTCATCTCATCATCATCACCCTCTCCCTCATCATCAGCTCCTCCTCCTCCTCCTCCTCCCTCTCCTCCTTCTCCTCCCCTCTCCTCATCATCCTCCTCCTCCTCCACCTCCTCCTCCTCCTCCTCATCCTCCTCGTCCTACTCCGGGTCCTCTCCTCCTCCTCCTCCTCCTCCTCCTCCTCCTCCTCCTCCTCCTCCTCCTCCTCCTCCTCCTCTTGCTCCCCGTCATTTTCCTCCCTGTCTTCCTCCTCATCCTCCTCCTCTTTCTCCTCCACCCCTCGAAGTCGACCCTCGGCCAAGCTGGGTCCTTGTTACAGGACAGGATGAGCTCCTGAACGTCGCCCGCCTGGGCGCCGCCAGCGGGTCCGCATGCCTCCTCCTCCACCCCTGTGCCACTCCTCATCCCCCTCCTCACCACCCGCATCATGATCATGATCAGTATCGTAACCCGTATCACCATCACCATCACCATCACCAGCCATCCGTCCTTCCAAGCATCAAACCATCATTACCAACAACAACAACAACAATGAGAACAACCACAACAACAATCACAAGAATAAAAACACCACCAACAACAACATCATCATCACCATCATAACCATCGTAATCAGCAATAGCATCATCATCATCATCATCATCATCATCATCATCACCATCAGCAGCAGCAGCATCAACAGCATCATCATCATCTTGCCATCACCGCCATCATCATTAGCAGCATCAGCATCATCATCATCATCATCATCATCATCATCAGCATCAGCATCAGCATCGTCATCAGCATCATCATCATTATCATCATCGGCATCATCGTCATCATCATCATCATTATCATCATATGTCTCATCATCCTAATCGGCGTCATCATCCTCATCATCAGCATCTTCATGAACGCCGTCACCAGCATCACCGCCACCACTACCATCATCACCTTTGCCAGCGTAAGCAGCATCATCATCATCATCATCATCATCATCATCATCATCATCATCATCATCATTATCATCATCGACATCATCATCATCATCATCATCATCAGCATCATCATCATCATCATCATCATCATGATAAGCATCATAGTCATCATCATAATCGGCATCAGCATAATTATCGGCAGCAGCATCATCACCATAATCAGCATCATCATCAGCAGCATCATCATCCTCATCACCTTCATCATCCTCATCCTCGTCATCATCACTAAAACCAGATTCGTCATCATCGGCAGCAGCAGCAGCAGTATCATCATCACCCTCAACATCATCAGCATCGTGATCGTCACGTCAGCGGTCACCGTGATGATCATCCGCAACATCAGCGTCTTCCTCTTCATCATCTTCATCATCATCAGCATCATCAACATCATCACCGTCATCGTCGTCATCAGCCATCATCGTCATCATCACCATATTCATCAAGACAACCACGATCATGGCCAACATCCTCAACATCATCCTCAGCATCATCGTCAGCAGCAGCAGGAGCACTATCATCAGCATCCTCACCATCATCAGCAGAATCCTAACCATCATCATCCATCAGCATCATCATCGTCATAACTTAAAACAAAGACAAAAACAACCACAATAACCACAACAACACCAACAACAACAGCATCATCATCGTCATCATCGTCATCCTCACCATCATAACCATCGTCAGCAGCATCATCATCAGCAGCAGCATCATCAGCATAATCATGATCACCTATCTCCTGAGAGGGGGTGCT